CCACCCTCACCCTGCACACAGATCTGAGGGCACATGCCCCTCATGCCCTGCTGGGGTGTGCATAGCATTGGGAACCGCTCCCCTCCCCATGCCCCCCGTACAAGCTGCTTGGCGTTCTGTTCCAGCCCCGCCGTGCCCCAGCTGAGCAGCACCTGCCCTGCTCCCTCACCGCAGGGCCTCGATCTGCACCCCCCCCTTACAGACAAGAAAAAATATAAAGTACATAAGCTGAAACTTTGAGACAGAAGGGGTACACTTGTTAAAAAAGGTTGAAAACCCATGATCTAGCTCATAGCCCTGTCTGACACCTATTACTAAGCAATAAAAATAATAAATATGAAGAAACTCGGAAAACAAGCATAAATTTTGAAAGAGCTTGACTGGCTGTACCAAAAAAGGAAACCAGTCAGAAAAGCATGAATTTCTCAATGAAGCCCACAACCGTGTTGTTAGGTGGCTATCACAGTGTAACTAGTTTTGAAATCATATACAACCTGTTAAATTACTTTTGGATCTTTCCTGTCTTAGACTATAGTGGATGAGCAGCTGGTTCTGAAGAAAGTGGCAGATGTTGTAATTCATTTATATGCGATGACTGCAACTATTTCCAGGGCTAGTCGATCAATCAGTATTGGTCTACGCAATCATGACCATGAAGTAAGTGTACTTGTATTTTATGTCACTGATGGTGTGCTAGGCTATTAGAAGGATATCATCTTAAGGAGTTTTTGCAAACCAAAGTTCTTGGAAAAATCTCTCTCCCAGTCCCCACCTTAATTTCAGAAGCCCATTGTAAAAGCATCAAGGTAACCACTGCATGTGTGTCAAGCCCCGGTCCCTGTGCAGAACGTTCAGTTTCAGAAATGCTGACACCAGGGATCCTGCCCCACCAGAACAATGGTGCTGAGCGATCGGCATGACAGGAAAGTGCTTGTAAACTGTTCTAGTCTGCATGTATTTGTATTCCCTTTCAAGTTGACCATAAACCACCACAAGCCAATTGTTACCTCAACTCAAGAATGTGCTCATTTCATGCAATGGACCTGAATTTTCCATTCATAAGAAGGCATTTTTAAATGGGCAGATGGTATATATCTGTCTCAGCCTTCACAGGAGCATGATTTCCTTGCTTTTCATCTGGGTCTTACTGACATAAAAATAGTCTCAACATGAAATACATAGAAAACAATTATTTAGTAAACCTGAAAATATAGTTAGAGGTTATTAAGAGACAAACAAGGAAGAAAAATGAGGAAAATGAGGTAAATTCTTCCTTCAGTTTCTGTGGACATTGAGTCATGACTGCTGTGTCCCCATGCTGATTTTTTTTTTTTTTAATCAATTATTAAAGCAACTGCCTAAGTGTGTGTGTTCATAATTGTTTGGCTAGTGCCATGCTTAATTGGCAGCATAAACATACAACCTTACTCACACTGTCATTAGAAAATACAGCTTGGCAGGCACATCAGGGTGTCTAATTGATTTAATCATTTCTGGAAAAAAATTGTGTTGAATGGAAAAAAAATAGCGACTTAATTGAGCAGTAGACCTAGAATAAATAACATTTCTCTCTTTAATGACCTTGATACTTGACACTTTTTTAGAAATCACTTCTGGACTTGTAACTGAGGACCATCTTCTAGGTAGTCTTCAGACATAGGTCATTCAATTTATAGGAAGCAGTTGCTGTAGAAAAATGAAAACCATTAAAACTTGCACAGTAGGTTATGCTAACGGGAAGCAACAATACAACCAGTTGGACATTGAGTTGGTAGCATATTATTCTGTTGGGGAAACTTTTATATTTTGATACTAACACAAACCTTTCTCTCTGGATTTTGTTTTGTCAGGTGCTGCTTACAAACCTATTCTGCAAAGAGGCATATTTCAAAAATAATTATGCCCTAGCTGAGTTAGAAACATGTAAGTTCTGTGTAACATGGAATGTATAAGCTTGTAGCTCCAAACCTTTAAGTAAACCATTGGCAAGGAAATGATATATTAGGAGGCTCAAGGTATATATGAAACTCTAATAGTGCCACGTGGTAATTCTTGCTGTAACAAGCTTTCAAATAGCTTGAGTTCTCTGTGTGTTGGCACTGCTGTGGTTTTAAAGCAATGTGAAAATGTTGCTCTGCCTTATCTGCTACTTGAAGAATTAATTGCTGAGAGAGAGCTGCCCTTTTGGGCCTGGGCCTTAAGGTTTTGACTGAGCTTCTAGAAAGTCTGAAGACATCAGTTGTAGTCAGCCTAGCTGTTCTGCTATACCTACGTTCACCTAGACTCTGAACAGTTTGCTTAAAATTTTGAACTCTCAATTCTCATTTCTACTGCAGCTGATATCCATCACTTGGCAAAGGGGCATAACAAAAGTGCACACCTAGGCATAGTTCTCCTTCACTGGCAGTAATAAATTAACATATGAAAAGTAGTATCCCTTAAAGAGAATTAGATACCCAGGGCTGACCAAGCATTTAAGTGTCTGTCTTGGGGGTCAGTTAAAATAAATCCATTACCTCTTCAACAGTAATGGCATCTTAGAAAGCCAAAACTAATCCATCATATTGTTTACTTCAGTGGAACTGCAGTTCTAACTAGACTGCTAAAACATACGTGTTCAGATAGATGCTGCTCTAGTGTACCATATAATAAATGCAGCCTAGGTGAGCCCATACCCTTCCACTCTCTGGAGCATGCTAATTGCAGTTGAATTAAAGTTGAGACTTCCTGGCTTCCCCATTGTCTAGCAGAAATGATGATGTGGCAGGCATTGGTACAGGTAGTTGTATTCGGATGTTTGAGGGGTTCTTTTGGAAAGAATGGTAGCAGTATCTGCCCATTGTGTTTTAAGAACAGAAGAATTATGCTAACTTCTTTCTATCTTTTCCATAGATTCTGATGAAAATATGGACAACGGCATTAAAAAAGTTGCAAGGTGGGTGTTGGAAAAAAGGGCATATACTTGTTCCTATCCATTTGACAGGACTTTCTAATCACAAGCATAACAGACAAACCTAGACTGTGACTGAAAAAGGCCAGGGTATTGCTCCTCTCTGTTTCAAGTTCTCAGCCATGTGTCTGACCGTTTTAAGCAAAAGACTTTCTTTTAATGGAAAATGTGTTACCATCTGAACAAATTTGTAAAAATAAAAATAAAATGTTACTGCCTCGTGTGTAAACAGACCACATTAAAAACCAAAATCAAGCAGCAACTATGGGTGATTCTTTTTTTTTTTCGAATTATGGTAACATCTGATCTGAATGAACGTGGCAATACTTGACTTTCATGTCCTGGCAAAGGAAATGTAATATAAAGGCACTGCTTGATTTACCCTCCCCCCCACTCCAACCTGAGACCAAAGTGATTCTCTTACCTTTGAAGATTTGTTGGTAAACTCTGTGAATACTGATGCATCTTTAAACCGTATCAAGTCAATGCTTTGTCTTATTTACTGAGGAAACATATTACATCAAGGAAAGACCTGTCACCTAACAAACCACGTGCAAGGTATTGAAGTACTATTTTAACCTTATAATAGACATTTTCTGAGCCTAGTGAATTTCTGCAAATGGTTTAAGGCAGAGGTGGGCAAAATATGGCCTGCGGGCCCGGTCCAGGCACAGGAGGCAGCCTGGGCTGTGACACGTGTAGCTTGTCCGGCTTCCCCCCGCCAAGGCATGCAGCAGGGCTGGGGTGGGGTGGCAACTGGACTCTATTTCCCAGCGGCCCCAGTGGTAGCAGCTTCTTTTGGCTGCTGCTGCTGGACCCGCTGGGCTGCCTAGGCACCCTGACCCATTTGTCCTGCACCCACCGCTGGAGGACAGGACCATGTGGGCCTGGGTGCTCTGCTGGGTGGCTGGGATGGGGCAAAGCCACGATCTGCTCCCTGCACACCCTTGCCCATGGAACCAGTCCCCATTGCAGGGGCATGCAGGCAACGAATCATAGCTCTGCCCTGGCCCTGTCCAGTGCTGTCACTGCCCTATGATACCAGCCTTGCCAGCCCATCCTACTCCTGACTCCCATTCCTTACCCACCCATGGCCCCGTACAACATAAGGAGTTTTGGGGAGCTGTTGGGGAGGGATGGGGGGGAGAAATAATTGCCCAAATAGTTACCCACCCCTTGTTTAAGGGCTTTACAGTTGTTGTCATGCTAAATATTCTACATAAAATTTACGTCTATCCTGTGGTTCTCAACCTGTATATACGTGAGACACCCCTAGGAAAATGACAGCTCTTAGGTTTCACTTGTTTCTTGACTACAAAAAATAGAGAGTTCTTCTATTGTAAAGAACTGAAAGAGCACAGCAAATACGGATTTGCTTTGAAATCTCTGGCTTCATCTTGTAAATCATGTTTGTACACGGAAGAGTCCTAACTGTGTGGCACCCATAGCACCATTAAACTAATCTCAAGGCACCCCAGGGTGCTGCAGCACTCTGAGAATCATTGGTCTATATATACCAAATCATTGTCTTGTACCGAAATAGTACTATATTTAGGAAAATCATAATATATCCAGTGTTGGCACTGGGAAAGCTTGCATTACTAGACTGCTGTCTCAAATGGGTGGGAGAGTCAGGCATGGAAAAAGGTCTAGCTCAATGGCTCTCAACCTTCTTAAGCTTAAGGCTCAGAAAATGCTAAGTCTTAGCTATCACTTGTATCCTGACTACAGAAAAATAGCAGAACAATTCTTCTATTACAGATAACTCCAAAAGACCACAACAGGCCAGAATGTTTTTGACACTGTGGATTCCTATTTGAAATTTCTGCGGTTACTGGCTGAATCAGGTGTAGGTGTTTGCACATCTAACCATGCACAGTGGATGCCTCTACATATGCAGTTAATTAAACTACTTCTGGGTACAACATCTACACATGTGCCCAGGACAGCAGCAATTTGAGTCTTGGCAGAGCAGGCCCAAGCTGGCAGGGGTACCGGGGGTCAGCCCTAGGCTCTGGGTAGTGGTGTTGGGCCTAGGTGGGACATGAGGGTGCTGAAAGTATGGAGCTGTGTGGCTAGGCAGCAGGCAGGAGTCTGGCCCCTGGCTGGCTGGGCTGATGGGGCACAATTTATGCCCACGGTCAGTGTCTAAACATGCATTTAATTGCAGTAAATTACCCTCGTCTTAAACCTGTGGCATTAATTAGTTTAGCGCAGCCTAACACTATTGCACATGTAGATAATGATGCTTTATTCTGCAGCTAATTAATCTACTCCGCAGTTACGCACATGTAGAAATGAAACCAGTGAGTGAGCATCACTAGTCTAAGTCAAGTATTGCCATGTTCACCCATCCCTAAGTGGGCTCCTCAGAAAAAATGTTCCTGTTGTACCTGTCAATCACATAGTGTCTGGCTAGGGTCCAGGAGTTTATCTCCATCCCATAAATGATTCTCCTGAATGGTGCCCTTTGTAAAACTGATTTGAAGTGCACTGTATTGTGTTGAATGTTCAATATGTCACTCAGGCTTAACAGACAAGGGCTGCAGGCTTCTTTAGTAAAAGTCTTCTAATTTTACTAAACCTCTGTCTGAACTGTTGCATTGCTGGGAGTACAGAGCTATGTCCAGCTGCCATGGTCAACACCGGTACAGAGGAAAGGAGATTTTGATGGCAGAAAAATATTAGACCAAACAGATTCTTCTGTTGCAAAGCATGCAGAAAGTCCACAAATCAGAACGTTTTTCACACTATGGAATCATGTCTGTACACCTAACAGTGCACAACACCCTATAGTACTTTTGAAAGGATTTCAAAGTACCCCAGGATACTATAGCACCGTAGTTGCGAATCACTGGTATATAAACTGCATCTCCTCCCCTTCCTTCTGCTTGACTTTGGGCAAACATGGCTAACTAATGCCCTCTCCCTGTATTAACAAATACAGAACCAGTCATAGCCAAAGCCATCAGATGCCACAGATCCAACACATGTCTAGCCCAGATGTGATAGATCTCATCCAGTGACCAAATGCCCTCATGGAAAGTGGGTGGGTAAAAGCAGACAAAAACTGGTCCAGAATGAATGAACACAACAAAAAAGACAAAGCAGAGACACACAAACACAGATAGGAGATTACTTTTCACTGAACAGCCACTCACTTTTTGCTCTCTCAAACTTGTACTGGAGAAATTTACAAAAACCTTCCAAAGCCTGGCCTAGGAACAAAAATTCAACACTGGATACCAAAAACCAGGGACTAAACAGAGACAGTGACTTTGTGGTTCATTATAATCTAACTGCTTAAGCACTCTGCACTCCATGATTCTTCCTCTTAAAGGGTGTAGCTCCATCTGCTTACCGGCATATCCTTCTTACTGCATTTATCTAGTAGGGCTGTGTGAAGCTTCGGTTGCTGATTCAATTTGACAGAGATTCAGCCCAATTAGGTGGCCAAATCTCCAAATCCAAATCAAAGCAGGAGACCCTTTAATCTCTCCAAATCGAATCAGAACCCTTCCAATTGATTCGGAGAGATTTGGAAAGATTTGATGATTCGGACATAGACACAGCTTTAAATGTTTTTTTCTACATACCTCAAGGTACCAGGCAGCTTGTGAATGCTGTGATGGTGGAGCAGATAGAGTCCCACAGGAATGTGGGGGGTCCCCAGAGTGCTTGGCAGCAGACCCAGAAGTGGATCAAAAGCACTTCTGGGTCCGCTGGGGGGCCTCCCCCCATGCCCCCACCTCTGCAACTGGTGCTGCTTGGGTCTGGGGCCACATGTGGGGCCCCCCACAGCTGATCGCCGAGCCAAGGGGGGGTGCTGGGGCAGGGGGGGGTCCCTCAGTGCACTTCACAAACCCAGAAGAGGTCTGGAAGTAGTTCCAGTCCACTTTTGGGTTTGCCACCAAGCACCGGGGGGGGGGGAGGGGGGCAGTGCCCATGCTCCTGTGGGATGCTCCATCTCTGCTCTTTTTACAGCCCTGCTCCACTCCTTTAATCTATAAGATGCAAATCTACTCTGCCTCCCTTCCTTTTGACAGGCTGTTTTCATTTACATATAGAGGGTTTCAGACACTACTGTTCCATTCATTACTTAGCTCAGACTGCAGCTGCAGCTTGATGCAGTCTATCCCCTTTTGTCCACTGTATTTGAGTCTCCTAAGTTACCTGAATCCTGTGTATTCACTGGAGCTGTGGCCTCGTCCTTTGAGGTGTCTTGATGTAGCACAAGGTTAGTTCTGTCCCTTCCTTCCTTCACTAGTCTTTTGTAGAGAAACGAATGTGCATAACAGTGCAACCTGAAGAAAAACACTTGTTTAGTGTAATCAAACCTGTGTATGTGTATGTAATAAAAAGGGATTTGTTCATTTTAATGTAAATAGTAGTGCATTCAAATGCATAGTTCTTGTTGCCTATCCTATGCCATGAGAACTGATACAATAGTTCTTTTTAATTATACAGTTGCTCTCAGTTACACAACAAATCATATAAACCTGTGGTGCTGAACCTTTTCCTTTGGCAGGCCGGAGGGGCAGGGCAGTGCCTGGTCTAACCATGGGTCCCATTGTAATTCAGATCCAGCAACTGGGGCCGGCATGGTGACCACCATCTGGTCATCAGGAGGAGGGTACAGGGTATCGCAGCCTGAGCCTGGCCCCACAGTGGGGGAGAAGGGGGCTTTACTTGGATCTGGTGAGGGGATGGGGCCTGGGGAGAAGGAGGTACATGACCTGGCCAGGGTCATAGAGACATGGCTCAGCCTCAGTGGTGGGAGGGGAGGTAAAAGGCATGTCTTGGCCACAGCCTAGCCCACCAAGGGGGTGGTGGGAAGGAAAGGGGGCTTGACCCAGGCCCATGGGGGACAGCAGGCCTGGTCTGGCCCCATGGGGAAAAAGGGGGCATGGCCCAGTCCCAAACCAGCCCCATGGGGAAAAGGGTGGGGCATGGCCCAGCCTCACAGGGAGAAGCAGGGGCACAGCCTGGCTATGACTAGGTATGCAGGGCATGGGGTTTGGGAATTTGGCAGGGGGAGGGTGGGCGTATTAATGGCCACTGCTCTCTTGCCACCAAATTGCTCAACCTGTGGGGCGCACCGCAGGCCAGATCCAATAGCTCCGCAGGCCACGTTTGGTCTGTAGGCCTGGAGGTTGAGACCCAAAACTCTCCCAAGTATAACAATGTAGTTTTAGGCAAGCAAGCTACACAGTAGAGTCTTGCACTATCTGAAGGTTTTATAGCAGTAATTGTAACTAATACTGAAAACTAGGTGCAAGCAACTGAAGTTGCACACAGTGCTAAAACCTTAAATTTATAATGAGATTTGATCACACAGATTGTCTCTCTGTCACTGGAATGAAAGTAACAGGTATTAATCAAGCTGTTTTTCTGTTCACTTTTTAGCTTTGTATTCTAAGCTGCATGGGTATTTACCTTTAGCAGCTCTTCCTTCCTGCTCTAATGCAGGTTGGAAGAAATATGCACTTAAACAAAACAAAACACAAAAAACCTGGCACTGCAGAATATACTTCAGTGTGTCCCACAGCTTCTGGTTTTTTTGTAAAAATATCATGAAGGACTGGTGAATTACTCCTATCGTTCT